CTTCCTTCCTTCCTTCCTTCCTTCCTTCCTTCCTTCCTTCCTTCCTTCCTTCCTTCCTTCCTTCACAAAGGGTTTTACTATGTTGTTTAGTTGCCATCAACCTTTGACCTTAAGATCTAATCATAATTTTTTTTCCTTTGACAAGGCCTATGGAGGAGGCCCTGCACCTAACATACATACAGCTATTTATTGTTCTAGAGGTGGTGGGACCTGGGAGAGTGGAGCCGATAATGAGACGCTCTGTTATGCATTAGTCAACTTTTTTTAGCTCATTAGACAATTTATGCTTTGAGGGTTAAGAAGAGTCACCTGAGTAACATACAATCACAAGGGCAAACTGCACATAGCTGGTAGGCTTCATGTGGCAAAAACAATTACACTCCTATCATCTGTGTAATTAATGAAAGCTCTCATTTCTAAGCTGAATTAATTGAAATATTTGTATATTATTATGACATATAACTTAATATTTTCTTAAGTTGTGTAACCGTATACACCTTTTTCAGGTCAAAGGACTAGATGCTGCTATTACTGGTCTACTCATTCTAGATGGCGAATCAGTCTACAGCCTGACTTCAAAGCCCATACTGCTGTTACTAGCACGCATTATCCTGGTGACCATCAGACATAAGCTAACAGCTCTGCAGGTAAGGCAGTGGAAGGCTCTGTGAGCGTTCTACACGGGTCCTTTTTGTGCCTGTTAACAGCAGACTGATGCCTCCTGTGTCTCAGTATAGTTGGTTTTCTATATCCTCTTTGAGAATTTAAAAGTCTCACAAAAATTAGGAAAAATATTTTTTTTTCTTGTAAGGGTAATTTGTATAGGATGAAATTGTATTGAGCCTCTGTAATAGATTTTCTGTGTGTAAGGTGTATAAGTGTTCATTCTTTGACTCTTAAGTAAAGCTTTAGAAGCACCACTCATGTTCTGTTACAAATTTGAGCTAATGATAGATAGTATCAGTGAGAATTGAAGGGATCTGAATTACCAGCTTCTGTTTTTTTTTGTTTTTTTTTTTTTTTGCTTATGGGTTTTTGTGTTGAATGTAGTAGAGAATTTGTTGAGTATTTTTTTTGTGTGTGGTTTCTTCAGGTCTCATATGCAGCAGGGAGGAGAAACACTCACACAGAAAGCTGATAGGCCCTAGGACTGGCACACTGGCAGTCTCAGGTTTGGGTGGAGGCTGTCAGCTGTGGAGTGTGTACTCTTCATGGTGGCTGCCTAGCTCTACTGTAGGTACTTTGAGAGCAGCCACAATCTGTTAAGAGATGGGTTGAGTTGTGTCCCAATAAAGCTTTTTTTTTGTGGCTGGGCATGGTGGTACACACCTTCAATATCATCAGTCACGAGGCAGAGGCAGATCGATCCCTAGAGTTTGAGGCCTTTCTGGTCTACAGAGTGGGTTCCAGAATGCTAAGGCTATACAGAGAAACTGTCTTCAAAAACCAAAAACCAACAAAGAAATGACTGACTTTGATGTGTGTGGTTGTTTTGTCAGCACTCGTATCTCCACTGTGTGCATGACTAGTATGTTGGATCCTGGGATGGGAGTACACGTGCAAGTACAGAAAAGCAGGGTGGATTCTGATGGAGAAGCTGCAGCACCTTAAATGTTTAGTGTGTTTATTGTGTGCAGCTGAACAAAGAGTCAGGGTTATTGCATGCAGCTGAACAAAGAGACAGTTAATATTGGTGGGAATAGTCTCTGGACAGGAGCAGTCTTCAGGCTGTAAACGTGGCTGTGGGAGAAAGCTACCGTGGACTTTTTCTGTACGCAGTATCAATGTCTCCATATGGACCAGGGAAGGCCTTGCCATTTCCGTGAGCCTCATCTGGAGAAGGTTTGCCATTTCCCTGACCCTCACTTGGCCTTGCTATTTCCCTAAGCCTCAAATGGGGAAAGCCTTGCTACTTTCCATAGCTCTAAGATGTTAAGGTCCCTGACATGGCCATGGCCTTGTCAAGCAATACACATTTACTCAGGATTTCACATGCTCCGTATGTGAGTGTGCACCATGTGCATGCCTGGCACCTGCAGAGTGCAGAGGAATTTTAGTGCTACAACATGGCTTCTCTGGCAAGGGATCACATTCAAATGCCTAGGTCTGTGGCATCTAGCTGGAATATAGACACACCCTTAGTATACACCTTTAACCCTTTGTCTGGAATACACTACTATAATCCCTCTGGCCCTAATATGGATTTGGCATACCTTTAATCCCCCTGGCTGGAATACACACCTTTACTACACACCTTTGATTTCACACAATGACCTCTAGTTGAGGGGTAGACAAAGTGATGAATCAGGGAAAGATTTGACAGAATGAGTCAGAGATAGGATATGCCCAAAGAAAGAGAAGCTACTTAAGAGCAGTGCAGAGAGAGTGGAGAAGAGAAAATACAGTACAGGAATACTATAGAGTTTGGTGCAGCCACTACAGGACACTTCAGTAGTGTTTGGTACATTTCAGTTCGTGGAGTTCAGAAGCAATTTTTCCAAGCAGAGCAATTCAGTGAGAAGCTGAGAGAAGCCAATTTGAATCATTCAGCTTGGAGAGGAGTTGAGCCAGAATAGCTGAGCTGAACCAGCCAGCCAGAGTTCAGAAAGAACTAGAAAGGATGAATTTATTCAGCAGTATGTTTTGGAAACATTCTAGGCCTAGGTTAGCAGAGGCGGTTGGAAGCTGAAGCCTTCATTGTCCGGATTTGAAGATTAGGTTGTATGAAGGCTAGAAGCTTCCAGGCCTAGGCCTAGGGATAGTTAGAAACACTCTGGGCTCAGCTCAAGCCATGTATTCATAAAGCTTGGATATAGCTCTCAACTCATCCCCTCAGCTGAGGAAATAACATTTACAGCAGAGACCAGAAGGTTCTTAGATACCATATGGGTGTTAAAACCCAGGTCTCTGGAAGAGCAGCTAGTTCTCTTAATCTTGGAGCCATCTTTCCAACTCCCACCCCTTGTAGTGGCATGATGAATATTTACTGTAGCTCCTCTTTTTAATAAATTGATTTTGATTTTAATTATGTGTGTGTGTGTCTCTGTGTAGAGCATGAAGGTAAGTGCACATGCTGGAGGAAGCCAGAGGTCTTGAGTCCCTTTGGAACTGCGGTTGTATGTGATTGTGAACCACCTCATGGGTGCTGAGAACTAATCTTGAGCACTTTGCAAGAGCAGCAAACACTTTTAAGCAATCCACTATCCCTCCAGACACGGTATGATTCTCTCAATGATGCTATGAATACCATTTCTCTCCTGAGTGGTAAAGAGGCAGCACATACTTATGTAAGTTCATTTCAACCTTTGAAGTTGTTATTTCAACAATGAAACCCACGGCCTTGTGCCTACTAGGCAAGCTTTGCCAATAGGTTAGACGCCAGCCCCATTTTACAGTCATTTTTGAGTCAATCAGCTCCTTAAAGAAATGTATCCTGGTGTTTACTCTGATGTTTGTGGATTTGTATAAAAGACCCCCCCCCCCCCATCCCTGCCCTGTCTACTCAGTCTCAGGACTAGAATTAACAACATGGATGTGGTGAGTAGCCTCAGCCTTGAAGTCAGGGGGAGTACCAGGACAGCCAGGGCTACACAGAGAAACCCTGTCTGGAAAAACCAGAAGAGAAAAAGTCACTGCAGTAGGACTGCCAGTTTAGTTTTTCCGTTCTAAGGTATTAAAAGGCCTTTGTATTTCCCAGCAGGGCTGAAGGGAAAAGCTCTCAATCAGTTCTACACTCCTGCCTACTATGGTTAAATCACAGAACTGAATTTAGAGTTCAGTGCCTTAGGTCATATGTTTTCTTAACAGCACAGCCTTCTGACTGGAGGCAACTGAATTCCCTTGTCTAGAAAGGGAAAGAGTTAAGCAGCTGAGCTTGACTCATTCTTTGTCCTGACAGTAGATAAGGGGAGGTCTTGAAATACAGGCTGACTTCACTAGCCTCACTGACCTGAAAAGAGGAAAGTGAGGGAATGCCTCAGGGAATTCTGTTAAAAATGATTTGAAACTACCTTCCTCTTAAGATAATTCTACTTCCCCTCCAAGGACTGAAAAGCAGGATTAGTAATTAAAAAGGATTTCATTGCAAAGTTGGCAATTCCTTTGTGGCTTCCTTTATACTTGCTGTGTGTAGCTGATTGGAAGGGACCCTTCTCCCTTTCTGTGGTACTGGAATGTGCTAGGCAAGTGCTCTGCATTCCTCTAGCACTCTCACTAAGTTTCCCAAGAAAGTCTTGAACTTTGATCCTTCTGTTTCAGTCTCCCAAGAGTTGAGACTTATTACACCAGGTCTGTGAGAAAGGCACTCCTTAATCAGATGAGATATTAAATTCAAGTAAAAAATGTTTTTGATAACTAAGCATGATCTATTAGTATTGTTACTAAAAGGGAAAATTAGTTTCTTACACATTCATGTAATATAATTCAGGCTAACAGTTTTGTGATTTTCTTATTTCTGTCTCCTGAGTGCTGAGCTTGAGGGTATAAGCCATTGTGTCTGCCTAACTTTACTTTAGATGACTCAGTGTATACTCATTATTCATATTTTAATAACCCCTTTAAAATATGTATTATGACTTGCACATGTATATAGACATGTACAAGTATATGGCATATTTGTATGTCTGTATACATATACTCATGTATGTAGATATGAGTATCTGCAGAAGAATGTGAGGAAGGTGGGGTTGGGGTAGAGAACAGAGACTGTGTGTGTTAGTATGGGGTGTGCCCAGTGCATCTAGGTTTTTTTTTTTTTTTGTGTGTGTGTGTGTGTGTGTGTATGGAGTGCCTGTGTGAATTCATGCAGTCCAAAGGAGAATGTCTCATGTCTTTTTGTACTGCCGTCTGCCTTGCTCCTTGCTCCCTCGAGAGGGGCTCTCTGAATCCGAAGCTCCCTGTCTCTGCTAGGCTCTCTGGCCAGTGAGCTCCTGACATCCTCCTCTCTCTGATCCCTGCTTCTGAATCATAATCACGTGTGGCTTTTTTATGTGAGTGATGGTTTGAGCTCTCAGGTCCTTATGTCTGTGCGACAACTGCTCTTGCTTGCTGAACCTTCTCTCTGGCCCTTTTTGTCTTTTTTTTAATAAAGAGATATTGGTAAAGCAAGAGCAAGTATGAATGAGTTAAAGAAGAGGCTGTTGTGTGCTCAGTAGGCACCTTAGTTCAGTTGTTGGTACTTGGGTTTGGAAGGGAATGGAGCACCGTGGCAAGTAGGATGCTCCCTTTAAAGGAGATGCTAAGTCTGAAGCAGCTTCAGAAGACATGCAGCAGGGCTAGTTACTGTTGGGAGCATGGCGTGCAGGGCTAAGCTTACCTGGAATAAGGTTTATGGGTGTAAAGATATTCCAGAAATTAGTCTCAGTGTAAAGTTTTCCCCTAAGGACCCCTTAATTTCAGCTCACATGGTGCTTTTTTCTAGAGCTTGCCGTGGTGGACTTTGAGATGTGTGAATATTCACCAACAGCTGCTTGAGGAGCGCTCGCCTCAACTTTTTGCTCTTGCTGGAAATTGTATTGATCAAGGTATGTAGCAGATTTAAAATTATTTATTATTATTGTACATGTGTACAGATAAACGTATGCATGTGGTGTGTGTATGGACGTCAGAGGACAGCTTTGGAATAGATACACACTTTTTTTTTTTGAGATAGGTTTTCTTTGTATAACTCCCTCTGTAGACCAGGCTGGCCTTGAACTCACCAAGACCCACCTGCTTTTGCCTCTCAAGTGCTGGGATTGAAGGCATGTGTCGTTCCCTCACCAGTGACCTTGTCTTTTATTTTTTAAAAAGGGAAGATCAGTTTTATTTTTTAATTATCTGCTTAGAAAGACGAGGTAGTCTATGTAGGTCACTGTGTCTACTCTATCTCTCTCTTGCTCTCGCTCTCTCTCTCTCTCTCTAGAAGGAGTCTCATCATATAAACCAGATTGGTTTCAGAGATCTGCCGACTTCGGCTTCCTGAGTACTGGAATTAAAGGGCATGTGTGCTACCATGCCCCGGTAGGATACTATTATTTTCATCACAAATTACATAAAAGTATTTTAATATTTTCTTTTGTCTTTTATTTTAAAATTTTATTGGAAACAAACTTTAGTTACTATTATAATTTTTAAGAGGGCTAACTAGAGCTGGAGTAAATTAAGATAAAGTATACATGGGTTAGGAAATTACTGTTTCCTATGAAGAACTAGAGGAAAAGCTCAGTTTTAAAAACATTTGATAGGGGCTGGAGAGATGGCTCAGAGGTTAAGAGCACTGTCTGCTCTTCCAAAGGTCCTGAGTTCAATTCCCGGCAACCACATGGTGGCTCACAAACCATTTGTAATGTAAACTAATTCCATCTTCTGGCAGGTGTAAATGTAGATTAGAACGCTTATATACATAAAATAAATAAATCTTAAAAAAATAAATAAAAACATTTGATAGAACATACATTTTATTGAGGATGACAGCAGAAGACAGTTTTGCATTTGTCTTATTGTTCTAGTAGTTTATAACATTAAATAGAAATTCTCCTAAACATGAACTAGAAATTTCCCAGAGCCACAAAGCAGACATTTTTGCCAGTGCTTCCTGCTGCCCCTGTATGTCCTCTCACGTTTCCTGGGGAGGCCTGTGAGGAGAGGGCTTTAGGCACCTTTGCACTTGCTTCCAGGCTCCCTTTGCTTGTAGAATGGCTTTTCTTGCACGAATTGCCCAGGAGGGCTGGAGAGGTGCTCGGTGTCTTCCAGAGGAGCTGACATCAGTTTCTAGTGTGCAGTGGCAGCTCACGTGAAGTCTGATATTCTCTTCTGGTCTACACACCTGCTCTGATGTGCACGCATGTGTGTGTGATTAAAATGAAAAATAAAACCTTAAGGAAAAAATTAGCCAGGCTTGGTATTCCACGCCTGTAATCCCAGCACTCAGGGCTGCAGAGGCAGGCAGGTCTCTGTGAGCTCAAGACTAGCCTACAAAGTGAGTCTACAAAGTGAGTCCAGGACAGCTCAGGGCTACACAGAGAAATCTGTCTCAGAAAAAAAAAAACAAAAACCAAAAACCCAAACCAAACCTAAACAAAATCCTAAAAAAAAAAAAAAAAATTACCAAACAAACAAAAGCAAAAGCAAACCTTGATATGAAGGAGTATTTGAATACAAATGAACTTGAGATTAATGATGAATTTTTGATTTACAAAGCTGGGGTTTGGCTTTGACTGTGCCTGGCTCCAGGGCCTATCCCGAGTATGGTGCAGATGTGTATGGATGTGTGTAGTAGGGAGCCAGGGAATAGTTGCCCTAGTTTTGGTGGCAGTGCAGTGATCCGTGTGTGAGGGAGGTAGCATACTGTGAAGGCATGTATCATAACTGCAGGAGTCTCCTGGATTGTTTTTGGAGTCTGTCACCTTCAAGGGTTTATCTATATGTTAGTAAGATAGGCTAGCATATAGTGGGAAAGATTGTAGTATATATAGTAATTTTGATGACTAGGTGATTGGTTAAAACCAATTTCCCAATTTTTGTTTTATTCTAGGACAGAAATATGTAAGCATATGCTAATTTAGATAAAATGGACATCTATACATGATTTAAAAGGAAAGTAAGGAAATGTATTTAGTCAATATAAAAATTGATTTTTCATGTGTTTGTACCAACTCTTTATCTTTTTTGAGGATTTTAGGTAATGTCAGCATGTGGAACAAGTGAGAAAAAAAAAACCCACAAGAGCCTAAGTATTGTATATATGTTGACAGTTATTCTGCCCTGGGAACTTATACCTGACTTGAGATAGCAGATTAATATAGTTATATGGACCTGTAGTACCAGCGATTTGTGAATTGAGGCAAGATAATCTCTTGAGCTCAAAGTTCTATCCTAACTTGGACAACACAGTGAGATCTTGTCTCAAAACAAAATAGTAAAACCTAAACCAATTAATTGGCTTTCTGTACAGTACTACATATTTGAATGTATCCAATTTATTTTTAAAGTTTTGTTATGCTTTTATGTGTGGGAGTTTTGCCTACATGTATTTGTGTGTACCACATGTGTGAGGTGTCCTTAGAGGCAGAAGAGGGCATCGGATCCCCTGGAACTGGAGTTAGATGATTGTGAGCTCCCATGTGGGTGCTGAGAATTGAACATGGGTCATTTGGAAGAGCAGCCAGTGCTCTTAACCATTGAGCCATCTCTCTTCTCCTGACAAAAATATATGTATAATATGTAAATCATGTATATACTTTAGTTTTTTGAGATGGGGTTTCTCTGTATGTATCCTTGGCTGTCCTGGACTTTTTGTAGACCAGGCTGGCCTTGAACTCACAGAGATCCAGAGATCTGCCTGCCTCTATCTCCTTGAGTGCTGGGATTAAAGGCGTTGTGCTACCATGCCCAGCTGACAATAATAGTTTTTAGGAAACAAAACTGAAAAAGTTACCTTTAAATTCCTGGCTTACTTGTTTCTACTGTAGTGGTGTCTTAAATAAAGTAGTGCCTTTGAGTAACAGGAATGACAGCGGCAGTTGCCTACTTGTTTAGCAGATTTGGGGGAGAAGCTGTAGTCTTGATCTGGGAATAACTGTTTTCCGTCTCCTGAAAGGTTTCTTTCTGAGCTGGTGGAATCATTATAGTTCTGAGAAAATGGATCATACATTAATGCTGTCTATGTGGCCTTCAAGTCTTCCCACTAGTGTTGCTTAGGTGTGACATTCTCTACAGAACAGAGGATGAGATGGAGCTTGGAAGAAATGAGGACATAGTACCTATTTAGCAGGCAGTGTGCTGTCTATTTTTAGCAAGTAAAAACTATGTGAATTTGGTCTTTCTCAGTTTATGCCCTCATATGTTTTTGAAATGAAGTGAGGTTACTCTGTAAAAGAAGGGTGCAAAGGAACAGCCTGTTGTAAAGGCTGAAGCAGGGTAAAAATTTGAAAGCCAGTGATGCACTGAATGTCATTAACGGCTATGGGGAGCAAAAGTGGTTTTTCTGGAGGACAAGGGAATCATTTAGAAGGGAATGCTATGGAAACCCATTCTACTATTCAATTTTATAAAACGTCAGTTGCATTATACTCCAAACTGTTGTATAATTTCTTACACTTCATCATGCTTTTGTGGAAAATTGGTTATTGAAAAAAAAAAAAAGCCAGATGTTGTTACTAGGATTTTTTTTTTTAAGGCAAACCTAATTTGATGTAATTTTAATAAAGTTACAATTATTTCCCTTCCATATTGTCCGGTATTATATACACCTGTATTTATTGCTACATTTTTGTTTGTTTGCTTGTTTGTTTGTCTTTCGAGACAGGGTTTCTCTGTGTAGCCTTGGCTGTTCTTGACTGGATCCTCCTGACTCTGCCTCCCTGAGTGTGGGATAAAGGCATGTGTTACAACACCCGGCTTTATTGCTACATCTTTACCATGTCTTGGTGACTAATCTTTGAAAGGAATATCTGTTCTTCATTATTAAAAGAAGAAGAAGAAAAAAATACCGAAAACCCAGTATCCTTTACATGGTTGCTTCATATGGTATACTTCAGAGGAATTCTTTTTCTAGAAGTTAAAATTTAGTTCAAAAGCAGAAATGGTTAACTGAGAAATCTGAAACCAGGTGACTCATTTCCCCGAGAGGCCTGTGGTGTTTCTGCAGTGAATTCAAGCACATCGTTTATTTTGTCCTGCAACCAAGAATTTTTATGTTGCTCTTTTAGGCCAATCAACATTTTTCACTTTATCTAGTCACAAATTGGTGGCTTGACATAATTAGACATTTTAGCTATGTTTAAATTCTGTAATATTTCATAAATAATTTTATTTGAAAAATTATTTTGTTCTGGGATCTGACCCAAATGTTGACCAGTTAGTTACAACTGAGATACTGTTCACTGTCCAGATCAGGATATTATATTTGAAATATTGCCCTTGAAGGATCATGAAAAGTTTTCAGGAATTTTTCCAGCCTGTGAGACATAGCAAAGGGTTTTATGAACAGCTGAGAGCTTCTTACTCATGTTCAGGAATGTTCCATCAGTGAAATGCAGTGAAAGAGAGCCTATTGCAGCGTCAGCATCACTTCCCGGGGCCTGTCGCATTTATGGAAGGAGGAAGGTTAGAATGGGGAAGAATATGTACCTCAGCACAACATGAGGCAGTCTTCAGATGTTGTACCAAATGGAACCAGAGTTCTGTGGAGACCATGTATGGGCCCACAGAGTTTATTGTTGGATTAGATACTGAAAAGGCATTACATGTGGTATGTGTGGGATATTGCAATTTGAAGATGAACTCAGGAAGTCAGTGTCTAAGAAGAAACAGGTGAAAGTATTTTGTGAGGGAGTTCTGGAGTTTCTTTTCCCAGCAGCTGTGTGACCCTGGAGTTTGGTTGTTTGCACAGCCAAAGACTGATATATTCAGTGATTGATTTTTTTTGATATTTTAGAATGGGTATTATTGAATATACCATTTAACACAGCATTAACAAATTTCATGGGAAGAGATTTGGGGTTTAACTTATGTTTTAAATGTACAGGTTGACATTTTGTCAAATTTTGCTGCCAAGTGGTCAGGTCCTTCCTCCCCCCCCCCAAATAAGTTGCAAAACCCACTTGTTTTCAGAGCTTTTAAAACTGTTAAGCTAGACATTTTAGAATTATGGCAGAATGAGGTGAAGATTGTCTAGGGCTTGAGGTGTAGCTTAGTTGGACAGTGCTTGCCCAATATACATCTAAGCCCAGCTTCTCATAAACCTGACATGATGGCACATGCCTGAAATCCCAGCACTTGAGAGGTGAGGAGTGAAGATTAGGAGTTGAAGGAGTTCAAGATGATTCTTAATTTCATAGAGAGTTTGAGTCCAGCCTGAAGTACAGAAGATTATTTCATTTCTTTTTTAAAGGAGTATTAGTGTGTGGATGAAGGAATAGACCTGATAGGTAGCTGGGTGCCTTTACCATTGATACAGAGACAGGTACCTTTGTGCTGTAATGGCGCCGTGACCTGAGAGTATCAGTGGAAAGTTAATTGTGGCTAGAGCAGAAGGAGGCCTGGTGGGAAGAGGAGGCCCAGAACTGTGCAGGACAGGTTGGGGTGGCTTGGGGATTTGTCTTTATAGAAGTTGTATAATATTTGACTTTAAATCACACTTTGATTAGTTTTTGTAGGTTCTCAATGAAGTAGACTCTAGTTGACCTTTGCTTACGTCATCAGTTGTTGTGTGGGTCCTTATTTTGTAGTTCAGGGATATTTCTTTTATCTTCTAATCTTTTTTTTTTTTTAAAACATTTACTTATTCATTATGTATATATATGTATGTGCATGTCATGTTATATATGTGGAGAGCAGAGGACAACTTGTGAGTATGTATGTTTTTTTTTTTGCATGTGCATGTGAATGTAGTGTGTGTAGGTCTGTATCTTCGTATGTGCATGCACATGGAGATCTGGGTGCTTTCCTTTGGGTCTCTCAGGTGCACCCAGAGATTCATTTGGCATCTAGCCGGCTTGTTCCATCCTAGCTCCGCTTCCCACATACTAGGATTACAGGTGGATCTGGATGTGGCTTGGGTCCTGGAACTCTGGCTAGGGGTGGCGGGCTAAGCAGCAATGAAAAAACAGACACACAGACCCATACAGTAAAAGTGGTGATCCAGTGCAAGTTTTCTAGCTCAGTAGCCCAGATCCCATCCTCTGTTAGGTACAGGACATGGGGAGGGGTAGACCAGTCTTTGTAGGAGGTCTCTGTAGGTGAGCAGTCTCAGGCTGTGACTAGCAATGAGGAAGAAGTTGTCAGTCTTTGCACACACTGATTCTCTGCCTCCCACTGAGAGCTTTGCTACCCAGCCTGAGTGTGGCCCATATGGGTAACTGCTTTGCCAGTTGTCCCATGGGCCCAAGGCTTCCACTGGACCTGACTATATCCATGCCAACAATACACATCGTCTCAGGACTTCAGCCAGCGCCTCCTCCACCTACGCTAGCTCAGTATTTTCTGCGATTGCTATGGATCTGAGCTCCAGTCCTCCTTGGCTCATGTCTGGTTCTTTTCTGCCATTTGTTTGTTTTCTAGCTTTTTATTTCTTTTGTTTCTTGACTTTTCAGGTATGTGGTAATGTCTGTCATTTACTAATTTTACTAGCGTCATAGAAGGTTGTATTTCTGACAGTAATGGCTAAACACTCAGGAATGATGGGCAGAACAAAGGAGAAGAAAGTTGAGAGGCCTCCATTAAGAGCAATCAGGATGATGAGGCCCCGCCATAGAGGAATGTGGATGAGATGTCCCAAGGTGCTTTGGAAGTGAGAGCTTGGTGTTTGGACGCCCTTGTGCCTCCTGAGGCCAGGCAGAACATCTTGACTTACTCCGTGTCCCACTCCAGAGACTCTCTCAGAAGGGCCAGCACTAAGAAAACACCTTCTTGGTTTTTCAGACCCACTTTAATCTCAGCTCACAGCAAGACAAAGGGGGATCTTGTTTCTTAGCTTTAAAGACTGACAGACGGATCTCTAGGTGATAGAAGTAGCCTGGGCCTGTCACAGCCTCTGCACCTGTCCTCCCACCAATGCCTGTTCCTCTTTCCTCCTACAGGCTTAGGAGAAGCTTGGATGCCATTCCTGGCTTGCTACTAACAGCTGAGGTGATCAGTCTGAGCTGTGTTTTGTCTTTCTTTGTGGTGCTTTAAGTGACCTTAGGGTCTCACTGCTAGGCAGACAGCCTACTATGGCGCTGTTTTCTGCCCTGATTAGTGTTGTAAAGATTTAAGTGGAGATAGCACCCTCCTCAGAGGCAGCGTTGTGAGAACTTAGGCACTCACTGAAAGTACCCAGTGCTAAGCAGAGTAGCTGTTCAGTGAATATAACTATTTTCTCAGGTTGGATGTTGGAATATCATCACCAGTGTTAGGACATTGAAGTACACCTCCTGCCCTTTCATTTGACATTTATTCTTATAGACTGCTTTGTGGAATGCTGATGAAGCCGTTACTGGAAATAGTTTAAAGAATAGCTGTCAGGGTTGTTGTAGTAGACAATTCTGTTTCGGGGAACCGGTTGGATGGACATCCTGTTATGTGAGGAGCCCTGAACCCTGGTGTGTTCTAAACAGCACTATGCTGTTTAGCTTACATGATTAATTTCTTTGTAAGCAACAATGTGTTTATTGGGATGGTTCCCACTGATCTTGATTCCTCCTGAAGGGCATCCTCTGTCCGCCTTGCTTTTCCACCTGTAGGCTGAACAGTGGAGCAACACCCAATACCACCGTTTGTGCATGGCTAGGGACTGGGGTGACTTTACAGCATGTCAGGCATTTCACACCCATAAAGTAGGAATTAGGGCTCTGCACCAGGCACTTTTTCTTATGTTTCCTCTGCTCTGCTGGAGGGGGATCAAGGAGATCCTTTGTGAGAGGCATGTTTTCGTAGGGAGGTCGTCACTGCTGGAAAGGGCCTGTATAATTAATTTTGATAACCATTTATCTCAGATATTTTATTGCTAAGTTGTTATCCTCTCGTTTTATTTATTTTAAAGTGAAAAATACACTAAACCGTGTGTGTGTGTATGTGTGCGTGTGTGCAGTGCTATGCCCAGTGAATCATCTCACTAGGCCCGTATTTTACCTTAAGTAGTTAGAGAAATAAATTAGAGTCTGACTGCTAAGCCACTGTTCCCTTCCTATTTGATATTCATTTACACACACATGCATTCTTCAGGGAAAACTTCTGTGAGTTCTTGAAGTGAACTCAGCTAATCTCCCTTTCTTCAGATTGTCCCTAGTGTTCAATTTACAGATTGATTTGGTACTTTGTGTCAACCTGCCGTGTTCCCATATCTCTGCCCATGTTTGTATTAGGTGGCTGAGACAGGCACTGAGAAAGGGTCAGTGGTATGAGTGGCATCTCCTCAGACTTACTGTGTCTTAGGAAGAAGAAAGCAATGGATCTGAAGTGTTCGCTGTGTATTTCGATCATATAGATGCTCAGAGAATGCTAGTTGTCAACTGCTGTTATGTTTCAGTTCCTTTCTGTGCTTAAAGTTCTGAAGTGTATACTTTAATATATTGGGACTCAACATTTCACTGATCTTAATTTTTAATGTTTCATCCTTTGTCTTACAGTGATGAAACTAGAGAATTTATTTGAAGGTGATTCAGGTCGACTTTTGGCTATTCGATTCCATCTGGAATGCGCACATGTATTTCTATATTATTATGAATATAAAGAAGCAAAAGACCGGTTCAGTACTGCTAAAGACATCAGCAAGTTACGGATTGACCTGACAGGTAAGGCTTTACTTCTCATGGTTCTTGACTTATTTTACAATAAAGCTAGTATGTCTGTTGGCAGTTTGTATTGTATTTTGGCATTTGATTTTTTTTTTTTTTTTGTCCTTTTGATTATAAGCCATATCCTTTCTCGGCTGAGCTATCTCACCAGCTCTTTTTTGATCTTTTAAAATGTAGAGCTAGACTGACCATGGATAAAAAACAAACTTGTTAGGGTGCATTTATAATCTTCCGTTTTCCAGATTTTCTTTATGTAGCCCAGGCTGGCCTGGAACTCGTGATAGTCTCGTTCTAACCTCCTTAGTGTTGGATACCCTACCATACTTGGTCTAGTATTTAATTTTTTAGAACCTACCTAGTTTTTATTTCACAATACATTTTAAAGATTTTATTTAAAAGTTCATATTTTAAAACAAATTTGGAATTATCTGCTGTCTTTTTTTCAGAGTCCATTTCTGGTTCTAAACTAGTTCAATATTTGGTAGTTTTAGCAACCAGGCAGAACATAAATGCACCTTGGACCATTTGGTTCTGGTATCAACCTTCCAAGACCTCTGCTGACTCCCCAGTTTAGTCTTGCTCCTGTGCATTGGCCATTCTTGTAAATGCTGTAAATGCCTTCTGTTGTTTCCATTCTTTGTTGCATTCCATATTGTAAACCTTAGGAACTTTTCTTAGGTTTATCTTCAGTTCTTGATAATACTGACTGAGCCTTGCATGGTGTTTCATGCCTTTTACCTCAGCACTGGGAGGCAGAGGCAGGCGGATCTCTGAGTTCAAGGCTTACGTAGCAAGTTCCAGGACAGCAGGGGCTATACAGAAAAACCCTACCTTGAAAAACAGAGATACAGAGAGAGAATAGCATGTGAAATATAATAGGCACTCAGTATTGCAGGGAACAAGTGAAGTTCTGAGTAAATGTTCATTGTTTGACAAGGGCACGGCCATGTCAGAGACCAATGCCTTGGTTCCATGCGAGTGGTAAAGTCTTCTCTTCCCTGGGTGAGGCTCAGAGGGATGGCAGAGCCTTCCTTGGGTTCTAATGTGACTGTTGACAATGTGTGCAGAAAAGGTTCACTTTTTCCACCCAGGTGTTTACAGCTTGTAGACTGCTCTCCCTCAGAGCTGGTGCCTACCCACATTAGCTAAGCCTGCCTCCTGTTTACCGGCCTATAGTGCTGCCTCCTTGTTCAGCTGTGTATAAGAACCCTGCTTCCATAGTTTATTTGTATATAATAACCCCGCCTCCTTGTTCAGCTGTATATAATAAAGAGGCTGAGCTTCTGGTGTGCTATGGCTTCTGCATCCTACAGCCCACACCATCTGATCCCAGCTTTTCTGCTCATGTGTCCACATGCCTGTTACTTTCTTTATCCCTCCTCCTCTCCCTAGTTAGGTCGCTCTCTGAAGCTGTGCAGGACATGCACCATATGTGTATGTTGAAAGAGTGAATGATTTACAGAATTTCTTCTAAATCCTCTGTTGTCTCTTCTGAGTGCCAAACAAGAAACACTGCTTTGTACTGTATGCTGCTCTATTTCTAGACTATCTGGTGTAGTTGGCCTTAGGTTTGAATGAACTAAGGAGAGCCAGGCATCACCAGCTCACGGGTTCAGGCTAAGCATCCCAGGACGTGACACCTGCCTGTGTATTCTTTGACTGAAATAATTGTCCCATGCTGGGCCAAGATCAGTTTGTAGGTCTGTTCTTGGCCTCATTGTTCTGTGTTTCTTTTGGGTCAATGTTAATCAGTAAAATTCTTTAGCTGTATCATGAGTCAAATATGACTTTATGGGACCTTAGCCACCGTTTAGTACAGTGTTAGTGTGGGAACAGTTATTTAATATCATAGTTTTTGGAATGATGCCATGAATAACTTGGAGTCTTATCTGTATTTGAAAATATAGTTTGTTTTTTTTTTTTGAAAATATAGTTATATGTGAGGTTCATTTCAGAGATTTTTTTCAAATATTTTTTTTGTAGGAAACTTTTGGGGGATTATTTAAGCATTAATGACATAGTGCTTTGTATATTCAGCTTTAACTGGTGGTATGTTTTTTAAAATCTTTTTAAAAATTTTATTTATTTTTTTTATAAATTATAGTTTATTCACTTTGTATCCCAGCTGTAGCCCCATCCCTCATCCTATCCTAATCCCACCCTCCTCATCTCCTTCCATGCCCCTCCCCGAGTCCACTGGTGGGGAGGTCCTCCTCCCCTTCCATCTGACCCTAGCCTATCAGGTCTTATCAGGACTGGCTTCATTGTCTTCCTCTGTGGCGTGGTAAGGCTCCTCCCTCATGGGGGGGGGTGATCAAAGAGCCAGCCACTGAGTTCTTATCAGAGACCTTTACTAGGTTCCCCTTACTAGGGAACCCACTTGGACATTGAGCTGCCTTGGGCTACATTTGTGCAGGGATTCTAGGTTATCTCCATGCATGGTCCTTGGTTGGAGTATCAGTCTCAGAAAAGACCCCTGTGTCCAGATTTTTTTATTCTGTTGCTCTCCTTGTGGAGCTCCTGTCCCTTCCAGGTCTTTCTATGTCTTCCTTCTTTCATAAGATTCCCTGCACTCTGCCCAAAGTTTGGCTGTGAGTCTTAGCATCTGCTTTGATACCTTGCTGGGAAGAGTCTTAGAAAGGCTGTTTGTGGTAGGCTCCTGTCCTGTTCCCTGTTTTCTCCCTTTTCTGATGTCCATCCCATTTGCCTTTCTGAGGGAGGATTGATCATCTTACCCAGGGTCCTCCTTCTTGCTTAGCTTCTTTAGGTGTACAGATTTTAGTAGGTTCATCCTATATTATATGTCTAATATCCACATATAAGTGAGTATATACCATGTGTGTCTTTCTGTTTCTGGTGCTATGTTTAATAGCTATTACAGTTTATTTTTTTCCCAAAGTTGAGGTGAAGAACTTAAAAATGGAAGTGTACTCACAAATACAAAATGAGAATCAGGTTATGATTTTTCTACTCAGCTATAGACCTACTATAAAGAAGTAAGCTGTTAGGTCACTTCATTGGCCGTCTTGAGCATGACATATTTACAGGGTTGGTAGTTACTCAGAGCCAGAGTCCTCGTAGTATAGGAAGCAGATTTCGTAGCCTGGTCTTTGTAATCCCACATTTTCCAGAGACTGGATGTTGAAACTTTTGTTTCTCTTCAAAGTGGTTTGAAAATAGCTCTTCTGCAGCATATTATTTCACAGACATAAAGAAGAAATGTTGGTACATGAAACCAGATGGAGTACTTGCCTGAGACTTAAGACGCTGTGGCCCCAGCTAAGTGCTGGTTTTAATGTAGAGCATCCTGTGATCCTGAGCAAGTGATGATAAGTGTTTGGCCTCCGTCTTTTCATGTATAATACATACATGCATATATGTGTGTGTGTACATAATTATATGCATATAACATGCATGTGTCTATATGTCAATTCTACCCTCAGTACTTAATAAAAATTTTTTTTTTATCATCAGAGAGTAAAAATAAGCATGAGATTAAAAAGGAAAATGAGGATTGAGAATCTAGTGCCTGAAATCCTGGGTTTGAGCTTTAGCATTATAGCTCATTGGCTTTGGATTATCTGAAGTCATTTTTACATCACTGGGTCCCAGGTTTCTCATATGTGAATGGGGATAATTCTTCAGCAGTCTGAAAATATTAGTCGTTATGATTGTACTATAAGTCTGACAGGTAAGGTTTTATTTTAATTTTCAGGTGCTTTGGGAAAAAGGACACGATTCCAGGAAAATTATGTGGCTCAGCTGATTCTAGATGTCAGGAGAGAAGAGGATGTCCCTGCCAGCCCTGAGTTCAGCCTGGCACCTACCCCCCAGGAGTATTTAACCAAGGTGAGTTGTTTAGTTGACTCTCACTGTTTCAGCAGGTGAGCATCACAGAATCTGAATGGATGAGAAGAGGCTGTTTGAGAACCCTTATTCTTTATGTTTTCATAAAATAGGGATAATTTTTTTCTTTTATAATTATTTTGAGGAAGGATCTATTCTGGCTTAGAGTTTGAATGTATACATTCATGGCAGTGGGTGCCAGCTGCCACACTGCACCCACAGTCAGAGAGCCCAGCTCGCCCCCTTCAGTATAGTGGGCACGAGTTAGTAGAGTCACTGCATTGCCCCTTGACATATACAAGGCAGGCAGAGTAAGCGGCTAGCTGCTGCCCCACCTGTTGACTCTTTTTCGTCTTTTGCCTTTTGTAGCAGGGACTGGCTGTGTAGCCAAGGTTGGATTTTAGCTCCTGCCTCTCCTACCGTAGCCTCCTAAATGCTGTTGTGCCACAACCCAAGTGGCTTGGGTCATAGAACTCTGATGGAGGTGTCGAGGGAACGGAGGAAGAACAGACACGCAGACAAACATGAAGGAAAGCTGGGATCCTGTGGGAGTTTGGGTCCTCTGTAACCTGGAGCGACAGTGTATTTATTAGGTACAGGATGGGGCTGGGGAGGCTTAGGACGTTTGTGGGTGAGCAGTCTCAGGATGTGAGTGTGCAGGGACAGAAAGGTGCAGTTGCTAATGTCTACACACTAACCAATTGTCTATTAGGACTTAGATTTGGGCTCCTGAGGAAAGCTTTGCTTTTCCTTTTGGGCTTGGCCCATATAGCCAGTTACATTGTAGGGTTTAAGGCCTTGGAGTCCTTGCATGTCTGTGCCCATGTCAGCAGTCCTCAGGACTTCACTCACTCAGTGCTTCGTCTGTTCTGTACATGGGATTGTAGGTATGTGCCAACACACCCAGCTCTGTACTAGTCCCTTTACTTTTGTCTTCTGTGAATATTTTTTAATATTCAGAGACTCAGTATTTCTCTGGCTTCTCCTAAACATAGCCAGAATTCCTTTTCTCTCATTTTATGATCTGTCTTCTACTCTGTCAGTATTGCATTGCTTGCTGCTTCAGTATGCTTTTTGACATGTCTAATGACTTCTTTTCTTGTGGCTTGAAATTAAGACTCTTGGACAATTGCTTCCATAGCGGGCACGAACATATTTTCGTTTTCCAGAGATTCCTACATTTACAGTTTTATATGTTAAAATTTTTTTAAAGATCTATTTTTATTTTATGTGTTAGGGGTGTTTTGTCTGCACATATATCTGTGTACCACATGTGAGCAGTGATCACAGAAACTGAGAGGGAACTGGTTCCCCTGGAACTGGAGTTATAGATTGTTGTGACCTGCCATGTGGGTGTTGGGAATCAAACCTGATTCTTCTGGAAGAACAGCCAGTGCTCTTCACTGTTGAGCCATTTCTCCAGCCCTCATCTACAGTTCTGATTGTCCTTTTATTGGTTTTAATGTGTTTCGTGGTCATGCTTTTGGTCATGCTTTCTTTTAGAACCTATTTTAGAACTTTTAACCCTAAGTTCATGGAGTACCGAAATCCTGTTCTGTTCTGAAACTAATGCCAAGGCAAGAGACTAGGGCTGAGGGAGAGGAGGCGCCGTCATTCAGTTCATTCTGAGGTGGGCCTCTGAAAAGAATGCTGGGCCAGTTCCAAGTTCTCTGTTTGCTTTTGTGGTAGCTTTAGCAAGGACCAGCTGTTGGTTTTAGAAGAGAGAATGAGGGAGAGGGTTGCAGAAACATAGGACCTGACTTAATTCCTCAAGGATATGGAGCTGTGTCTGTCTGTGTGCTGTGGTTAACACTAGTCAGAGAACGTGTAATAACTGCTCTCATCCTTAATTTCCTCCTCTCTGTTCTCAGTCCTGTACAAGCCCCTCATAAGCTTTCAGTTGCCCATTGGAATCTGATCTTTAGGCCATGGAACATATTTTTGAAAAGAGATTTAATTCTGAAGTCTAATCACATGAAAGTTAAATCTTTTGTCTATATGTATGGTGTGTGTGTGTGTGTGTGTGTGTGTGTGTGTGTGTGTGTGCGCGCGAACATATATATATGCATTTATTTATTAGGGTAGCTTGCAGGCTGAGATTTGTTGCTTCTCATCCTGGTTTCTTCAGGACATTTATCATGAGTGGACATTGTTGAGCTTTGCTGAATGCCTTTCCTGCTCCTGTTGAGATGCCGGTGTGATTTCTGTTATTAAGTCTCTTGTATCTTATGACATTTATTTGATGTTGTGTAACTTTGCCTGGGGAGATGTGAACAGGTGTCCATTCACCGCAGATAACACATAGAGGAACAACAAAAGAAACCATTCCACCCATTGCCTACTTTGCAACCAGCGCATTTATTGGCGGACTTACAGGAAGCAATCTGGTGAAGGGTTACTTAGAGGGATGTGATGACTCACGCCATCTGCATCCCTGAAGAGCTCACCAAACGTGGGTGGTGCTCATCGTATCCCTGAGCTCCCTGCACAATTTGCAAGTTGCTTGGCCTATTGGAGAATCTTCCTCCCTAACAATTGTGACTGCTTTTGTAAGCTTGGGGTCTACTACATGAGTCCCAGGAATTGAATTTGGTAGTGAGTGCCTGTACCTGCCTGTACCTTCTTGCTAGTCCTTGTTAAGGACATTTTGTGTGCTTATTGCCTGTTTATAAACCTTCTTTTATGAAGTATCTTCATACAGTTTTGGTCCACTTTTAATTTTGGTTGTCTAAGAGTTTTCCATATTCTGAATACTAGTCCTTTTGCTTTTCTTTAAGACTCATTTTTCTTATTTTTTTAAAAATAGATCATCCTACAGATTTATTACTGAAATGCACTTTACAAAAACAGTATACTTTGCTGTAAAAAAGGTTGGCTGACTCCAAGCAAGTGGCAATGATAGCTCTCCTGCTGAGGGCAGGTGTGTGTTAGTGTGCCTGACTCCCTCTGTTCAGAAGAGCTAGTGTTGTCCTGGCAGCTCCACGTTCTAGGCCTCAGTTTGAGTCACGAGGGAGATTGAAAGGCCATGACACCCGAGCAGTTGGGCCCTCTAATGATGTGATGAGAACCATGATCACAGGGATACATACCCCTCCAATGAGGGGAAATAGGGTAGAAAGAGGGTCAGGCGATGGAGATGGGCAGGTAAAAGATGAGTATAAGAGAGGGGTGGTGGGAGTATATTAGCACAGGTGCTTGTGCCCCGGGGTCAGAAGTGATTGCTGTCTTTCTTCGCTATTGTCGCTTCTACTGAATTCTTGAGGTGCATATGGCAAACTTTTTCCACAAAGTAAATTGTTCCTCACTATGTATTCACAAGAAATAGTATGTTGACCATTTTTAGACATTATAAAAATCTTTAAAAACTGAAAGGGTAGGGCTGGAGAGATGGCTCAGAGGTTAACAGCACTGGCTGTTCTTCTAAAGGTCCTGAGTTCAATTCTCAGCAACCATATGGTGGCTCATAACCATCTATAATCAGAACTGGTGCTCTCTCTTCTGGCCTGCTGGCCTGCTCTCTCTTCTCACATGTAGGCAAAATGCTGTATAAATAATAAATAAATCTTTAAACAACAACAGCAAACCCAAAAGGGTATGTTAAGCTGGATATGGTGCTACATGCCTTCATAATCTTAGTACTCAGGAGACTAAGTCAGGGGGTGAGGCAGGTGGATCTCTGTGAGTTTAAGATCTCTGTGAGTTGGTCTACCTAGTGAGTTCAGGCTAGCTAGGATTACATAATGAGACCCCGTCAAAACAAACAAGCAAAACAACAAACCAAACAATTACAAAAACTCCAAAGTAAATCAAAACAAAAGTAATGTACCCCAACCTTCCTTCATAAAAACTACCATTCATCAATATCATCCCTTTTAGCAGTCCTTTGAATAAATGAATGATATATAATTTTTGTTGTAAAATTTTCATCTGTGTCCCAGCAGAATCTGGAGCTCAACGATGATACTGTTCTGAATGAAGTAAAGTTAGCAGAGAGTGAACAGCTCCGGGTACCTGACCTGTGTGCAGAGGAGCTTGCTCTTATCCTCGGAGTCTGGTATGCTCATGGATGACTTGAACACCTTGACTATTGTTCCCCTGAGTTTGGGAAGATCTTCATCACAACTTCCCTGTACAGTAGGAATTTTGTACTGCTTATGAAGGTAGAGAATTCTTGGGCAACAAATTAAAGGGTCAGAGGTTAAGAATCTGTTGAGTTTGTAGCTCCTTCTCATTCCTTTATAAGCAAATGTTTTTGGTTACCTTCATCTGGGTTTTTCAATAAAATATTAAATATAGGCGAGAATGATTATGTGTGTGAGAGATGCATATAAGGACTAGAGGAGGCCTGTGGGTATTTTACACCAGTGCTCTCCATCTTATCTTTTTTGAGAAAGCGTCTCTCGCTGGACCTGGTGCTCCCTGTTAGCTGCCCATGCTGGGGATCCTGTCTCTGTTCCCATAGGGCTAGGTTACAGATGCAGGTGACCACAACTGGCTTTTATGTGGGTGCTGGGGATCTGAACTCAGGTCCTTATGCTTGCACGGCTGGCACTGTTTTTTTTGTTTGTTTGTTTTTGTTTTTTTATTGCAGCACTTCTTGGCTGAGAATGACTATTTTGACCTCCAAGGATACATATGTGTGTATGTGTTCGTATTATTTATAATATACATACATAAACATACATTCATGTATAAACAAAATGTATATAATTGTTTTTTTGTTTTTTTGTTTTTTGTTTTTTTTTTTTTTTTTGAGACAGGGTTTCTCTGTGTGACCCTGGCTGTCCTGGAACTTGCTCTGTAAGTTTGACACTGTCCTCATATTCAGAGATCTACCTGCTTCTGCCTCCCAAGTGCTGGGATTAAAGGTGTGTATCACCACTACCCACCTAAGCATATGTATGTTTTGAAGTAAATTTATATTTAATACAATAGAAGCTTATGCTGTTCAGTGGAAATAGTTTTCTTTCTTTCCTTCTTTCTCCCCCCCCCCCCCTTTTTTTTTTTTTTTTGGTTTTGGCTTTCAAGACAGGGTTTCTCTGTGTAGCCTTGGCTGTCTCTGTATAGCCTTGTAGACTGAGCTGGTCTGGAACTCACAGGTATGTGCCTGCCTCTACCTCCCCAAGTACTGGGATTACAGGCATGCACCATGTGCTCGGCTCCTCCTTTCTTTTTTAACATAAGGCTAGATTACTGTTTTGGTTGGCTTTTATTGTTTGTCACTGTGAAAAGAACCTCTGACATTTCTCATCTGTGTACTTTACTCACTTTACAGTTAGAAGTTTTACAGAAAAAATGGAAATTGATCTATTTTGCTTGAGGTTTTTACACTTTTTTGTGGCTTTTTGGTGCTTTTGTGCATACAGAAGAGTGTCTTAGGATGGGAAGAACTTGAGGGGTTAATTATTGGATCACCTTGTTGCTTGATACATAATTCCTTTGTTACAAACTAGAGGTATCAGAGAGAGAATGTTATGTTTCCTAAATTATTTCATTCCTCATTTACTTTGCTCTGTTGTCACCAACAATAAAAACTGGTGCAGGCCAGGAGTATGGCACATTCCCCAGTTCAAGGCCAGAGTAGATTACATAGTGGGTTCTAGACCATCCAGGGCTACATATTGAGACCCTGCCTTAAAAAAAACTAAGTAAAAGTTTGGGGCTGAAGATATGGCTCAGTGGTTAAGAGCACGTTCTGCTTTTTTGGAGGACCTGAGTTCAGTTCTCAGCTCCCACACCAGGTGGCTCACAACTGCCTGTAGCTCTAGTTTCAGGGTATCTGATGCTCTGTCTCCCTGGGTACCTGTACTCTTGTGCACATACCCACATGATTAAAGCACACATAGATAATTAGAACTAATAAAGATAAATCTTAAATAGGCTTCGTTAAAAGTTATTGCATAAATACTTCATGTTCATAAAAGTCTTTAATACTGAAAATTAAAAGGAATTATTATTTTATGTTTTCATTCTTTATAAATTTTTTATTTTCAATTTATTTTATAACTATTTTGCTTACACTGATGTATATGTACCCCCCCTGATGCCCATGGAAGGCAGAGGGGGTATGAGACCTCCTAGAACTAGGGTTACCCACAGTTGTAAGCCACCATGTGGGTACTGGGACCAGATCCTAAGTCCTCTGCAAGAGCAACAAGTGTTCGGAACCACTGGGTTAGCTCTCCAGCCCTTTAAACAAAAATCTTTTTTGAAACAGGGCCTTCCTCTGTAGCCCAGGCTGGCTGCCTTCCTCTGTAGCCCAGGCTGGCTGCCTTCCTCTGAAGCCCAGGCTGGCTGCCTTCCTCTGAAGCCCAGGCTGGTTGCCTTCCTCTGTAGCCCAGGCTGGCTGCACACTTGCAGCAATCTTACAGCATTAGCTTCCTGAGTGCTGGAGTTTCGGGCATGAGCCACCAACCACATCTAGTTGTCATTCCTATATGTGTAATGTTTACATGCGAAATAACTTATGTAACATGTGAATTTAAGTCACATGTTTAGCACTAAAGTGGAAGTGGTGAGCTAGAAGATTAAGATCTCACAAGGTCAACCTGTTCATTTTTTCTTGTCTCACTGTCCTCAGAGTCCATGTCTTTTCTCCTCAGAGAAAATGCTATCCTAAGTTTTGTGGTTGTCATTTTCTGGCCTTTAAAAATGGGTGGAATCCCATCTCTTTGATTCCTCCAGGCTGAGAGCTTCCATTTGCTTGCTTTCATGCTTTCTGTAGTCCCTGTGATTTCCTCCTCTCTGTATTGTGTTTGTGTTAATCTGTAGTTTCAGTTAATTTGTAGGGCAGCATTCCAATGGGTAGATGTGTCATGATGTGTCATTTTCTGTTTGGATATTGTGATTACTTTCAGAGTTTTCCTATCGCAGTGAATATTTATGTGTATCTTTCCTGGCACATCCATGGGGTATATGTAAATGTAAGTGTTTCCCTAACTTCAAATTGTTTGCCAAATGTGCTAATTAGACTTTGTTGTGAGTGTCTTAGAATGTCTGTCTGGTCCTTGCTGATTTCAACCTGTCTGGTTGTTACAACAGGATTTGTTTGTGCTAGGTGTTCAGTAAGTGGGAGTTAAGACTGAATTAATTCTTTCCATTGTCTTTGGTGAGTGGTATAGCTTGAATTTTTTATTTTTCTTTTACCATTTATTTTTGGAGGTGTGCATGTCATTGCAAGTACCTTTATCTGTCTAACCATCCTCTGGTCTCTGGATTTCTTCTACTTTTTTTAATAAGATGAAGTATTTTGACACTAGCCATTGTATTTTCATCATTTTGTCTTGTATAATTGTCTTTAGAAATCTCATTTCTATATCTGCATATGTGTTATAAGAGATTATGGTTTGTCTTTAAGAATTATTTTTAATTAGCTACAACATGTATTTTAGGATTAATTTAACTTTTTTTTTTTTAAATTCAAAGCATGAATTTCCAGAAGAACAACCCAGTTCATAAGCTGACAGAGGAGGAGCTGCTGGCCTTCACATCAGTGAGTAATGGCATCCAGTTCCTTCTTTTTCCTTGTAGATTATTTTGCCTCTGGTGTGTTCTTGCTCAAACTGAAAAACTGCCAGCTAAGGAAATTAGGGTGCTTATCTTGCTAGGTTCCAAGCCACATATTTCTTGCTATTCCCTTAAGCAGGTCTCTTTTTCTTTGTACTTGCTTAGGTTTGAAGACAGTGACCAGATTCTCATTTTTTGTTTTTCCTTTTTTGACTCTGTTACTATGTATATAATAGATAATAACTGTTTGTTGACTGAATGAATGAGAGCCTGAGAGTTCATAGTTCTTATGCATGAGAGTAAGAGCCCATTTTGATGCCTACATGGATGTCTTGACAAAGGGTCAAGAGTTAGCAGGGGCAGGAGAGCAGGGGTCAGGGAAGGAGATAAGTCTTGGGAACATAGGCGCTTGTCAGCATTCCGTTGCATAGAACATCAAGGACAGAAGGGTGGACAGAGAAGTGGCTGTGGGATTTGACAGGGTGCCTTGCTGACCCGGAGTACTGTTTGAGTGCAGTGGACTAACGAGGGAAGGTGACAGATCAGGACCCAGGCTGGAGAAGAAAAGCAGCAAAAGGGGATAGCTGTTGGGAGGTGTGAGGTCAAAGAAGAGAGAAGTGTATCACAGAGGAGAGGGTGAATCATTGTGGTTTTGGCTTTCTGACTGGGAAAGGGTGCACTTTTTTTTTTTTTTTTTTTTCTGAAGTAGGGTCTTTCTAGATAGCCCTGGCTGCCCTGGAACTTCTTCTGTAGACTAGGCTGGACTTGAACTCATAGAGATCTTCCTACCACTGTCTACTGAGTTCTGGGGTCAAAGGTGCGTGCCACCAAGCCCAACTTGGTATATATTTTCTTGGTTGAATGAAACCTCTTTTGATTCTGCCAAAGGCATCCTTATTATCAGAGAGTACAGAATTGCATGTTCTTTCTTCCTTTGTCATTGTCCAGATAGGATGAAAGAAAGAACTTTTAACAGGTAGAAAGAAAAGCTGGCTTGTTTGTGCTATAATATGAGCTTTGCAAAGTACTCTTTTCCACTCACTCTCTTGACCAGGTTAAATGCTAGTTGCTGGAGCCCTTTGGGTGTCTGTTTTGTCTTCCCACTCTTCTCATTCTTCAGCATCTTGGGTGCTACTATTATATTGTGGGCTCTATCTGACTCTGTGGAAATGCCTTATTTATTCATGACATGTGCTGTAAAGAATTTGGCAAGCAAAGTGGCAACATTGTTTTCAATGCACATCAAATAACTTGTGTACCTTTCTTTCACTCAGGTAGCAACTGTGAAATATTTACCATACACAGGTGTTGTGATACCTCATTGGGGTATACAACATTGAACAATATCTTTTTTGTTCTATAATTTTAGTTAATTTTACATTCCTGAGGGGGAACTACACAGATGGAAAGAGAAGTAGATATTTAATTGAGGTGCTAAGGAGGACTATAAAGTGGGATTGGTGTTGTTTAGCAGGGTGGTCTGGAATACCTCAGTGGGAAGGTGATGAGGAACAGAGATCCTCCTGAAATGTGGCAGTGGGTCAGCTCTCTAGTGGCTGTGGGTGAGTGTAGGATGGACAGGGCTAAGAGGAGACAAGTGTTGAGGCACAAGATGACTTGGAAACGTGGGTCTCCACTGTTGACTGAGGCGAGCCACGGTGGGGCAGATGACAGGGAATGTTCTTGCTGGACTCCATGGAGTGAGCAGTAGTAACACCATTGTTTGGTTTGGTCTCATATACATTGGATATGTGTATCCTCCATAGCTCCTGTCCAAGCACTACACAAAACTGTTAAAAGTACAGTTCTTGTGAGTGAGGGAGAGTTTCACTCCATTCCTTAGATTATAACCTTCTTTATCTGCTCTCATTCCTTCGTGTCATCAGGCATTTGTGTCATGAGGCATCTGATATGGGTAACTCATCCCTCACAGCTTGCAGTGAAGGTCATAAATTCAAGTTTCATACGTTCCCCACAAGGCTCTTTTGCTGAGTACTTTTTTCTACTTTCTCTTCTCCTTTGGCTGCCCTCCCAGGAAGCACTGGCCTGAGTACTGCTGTCTTTGGGGAAGAAAGCTTTGTGACTGCAGAGACTTAAGTGCCAGAGTCTAACTTTTCTAAGGACACTTCTTTATTAATTTAGAGTAAATCTTTAATTTCCAAGAAGTACTGCAATGTGCTGGGGTTATAGCTCAATTGATAGAATGTTCGCCTAGCATGCACAGAGCCTTGGGCTCAATTCCCAGGAATGCATAAAATGCATGTAATCCCAAAATGCAGATGGAGTAGGGAGGATCAGAAGTTCAAGGTTCTGCTTAGCTGCACAGTAAATGAGGTCAGTCTGGGACACATGACACACACACACACACACACACACACACACACACACACACACACCCACCCACCCACCCACCCCTGGTCTTCAACAAAACCCAAACCAAACAACCACCCACCCACTGGGAAGAAGTAGAAGGAACACAGGCATGTGGAGGGCT